AACAAATCACTTGGTATCATGGTTCATTAGGAAACACTCATAGTCTGGAGGCAAAAAGTACGACTGGGACGGCAATGGTCCTAGGCACAATCTGATCAGGAAATTTTTTTTTCTAAATAGGAAGTTTTCCGTTTCAAAAAATGTCGGCCTAATAGTTGTCTGCTTATATTTTGTCGGCATAGTCGCTTCATCTTAGAATTGTTTTGTTTTTCTTGTAAGGAATTTACATTGTTTTTAGTATTATGATTTATTCCTTGATTTTGGGTTTTTGCCAACTTTGAGTTTGCATGTTTTTCGTTTTTTAATTTTTTTTCGCTTTAGAACATAATTCGTTCCATATGATTCCGGTTTATTTTCGGACTTAATGACCACCAAGGGAAACGTGATTTTTATGCTCTCCTTCAGATTGCACAAAAAGTTAAAAATCTTAGAGTATAATTTATAGTTTATTTTTCGTGACAATGATCGGTTCCACGGGAGTTTACTCAAAATCTACGGGAGTTTACCCTGCTCAGTTGCTGATCGATAATTGTTTTTTTTTCTAATCTAATGCCTTTGATTGTGTTTCTGGGCTGTTTTTTTTAAATGTTTTTTAGTTGCGTTTTTTTGAATTTTGAATTACAGGCTCTCCTGTCTGTCTGCAAACTTGCAATGCTTTTTATCTGGTATCGCAAGAAGTGCAAAATCAAAATGATTTCTTTTTGTTTTATGGAAACGATGTCAAAGCCTAGTTATCTTTGGTTTAGTTTCTTTTGTTTGAAATTTGTATTTCCCGTAATTACTTCCGGGTGGCGCCTGATGTTTTTGTTTTTAATTGCATTTTCAATTTTTCAGGATGAAATCAATGTTACTTTTACTTAACTATGCGGATTGCAGTTCCGCCTCTTTTTTACAATATCAACTTTCGTGTTTTTTTGGAAAGTCTTAAAATTTGTTCAGGCTCAAATTTACTAACTTGCGGTTTGAGTTTCAAAGTTTTTTTAAGTTAAAATCATATTCTTTGTTAAAAATAAGGAAACTCCTATATCGAACAACATATAAGAAAAGATCACGAAAAGCGTGATCGACTTCTAGTTTCGAAAACGCAATTCAATTTTCAGATAATCTTACTTTGCGGTTTTTACTTTGGGGTAATAATTGTTTGAAAGTTTTCAATTATTTTAATTTTGAAAAACTTTTAATTTTGAAGGAACCCGCCTAAATTTAAAATTTAAAGTTTTAAATTTAGACGGGTTCCTAAAACAACTTGTACTTGCTGATCCAGTTTTCTCAAACTAGTTAATTTTATCAAACTAGTTCCTATCATATGGTCTAGAAAATCAAAGAGCTTTAAGGTTATCTGTTTTCTTTGAAACTCGAAAACTGAGTTTAAAAAAATTATGTCAAAATACTTCTTTTGTGTTTACTTGTGTTCATTGAGTCTTTTCCAACTGTCTGTTGGCTAGTTAGAGTCGATGAACATATTTCAGTTTCTTATGTAGGTCGAGATGATTTTTTTATTTTTTTTTGCAGGAAAAATCCTAAAATTTGTTCAGGCTCAAAATTTGTGGTTTGACTTCTGATTCCTTTTTATGTTCAGTTCATTTTCTTTGTTATAAGGAAGTAAACTCCACCATCGAACAGCAAACTGTGAAAGAATCGAAAAAATTGTTCGCATTTAATAAACCGCAAACAAAATATGACACTTAAAGACACATGGACAGGACTTAAATGTTATAAACACATAATCTTTGTTCGCAATGGTATCAGACTTCGCACGTAGACTTCTCAATTGGAAACCCACAATCACTGTTCCCACTGATATCGAACTTCAGACATTTCGAACTTCAGACTTCAAATTGCGGAGCAAAAAAATAAAAAAGCATTTGCTTGGCACTGCAAAAAAAAGATCAAAACTCAAGCTGAACGCTAACAAAATAGAAGACAAAAGATGCCGTATTATGGGAGTTGTCAATCAGGCTGGCGTTTTTTTACCTTGGGCCATCTCACAGACTCAAAATGATGCATTACCTACTATATGTTTCTTTTATGCAAGAGTTACTTTATCATATAGTTTATGGGACACATCAAATGCAAGATTAAGCAAAATAATTTTGATGTAAAAGCAATATTTTTAATAGCCAAACTGCGCAAGTTGTGAATTGTAAACGAATTTCGCAACAAGTCAAAACCAAAGTTGTCGCGGAATCCGCAACAGTGCTTTTTTTCTTTGATCTTCTTTACGTTTTGGATCCCACAAACATTTTAAACACTGTACCGCTCAAAATTGCTCCAAAAGCAGGCAAATTTGCGAAATCCACAACAGTATTTAAGAATTCCGGAACCGTTTGGAATCTACGAACAAATAATTAAACATAAGAGTAGAAAATTCAAGTTGTTGCTGAAATCTCAAATTGTGAGCGTAATCAGCAAACTGTAAGCGGCATCCGCATGTTGTATGCGGATGCCAGTAATCTATATAGTTACAAACTGCATTTTTTATTTTGAATAAGATTTTATGTATCATCAGCAAGACTTTCCGACAATTCAAGCTTATTTACTGCCAACAGTTCAAATTTGCCAGCTAATTCTTGAATATTTAAAGAATGAACACTTTTCCTATCGAGAATACTGAAAAAATGCACACCTTTCCGATCTCAAATACTGAGAACTGAACAATTTACTGGTCACAAATACTAAAAGAACGAACAGTTTTCCGATCTCTAAAAAAGAAACAAAGAATACAAACTTAGGTAAACTATTTCATGGGTTATAAGGCTAACTTATCATTATTTTTCACTTATTAAAAACACATTAAGTTCACAATTTTAGTTGAAGAATGACTTAAAATTTGTTATTGGACCCCCTAACTATACTTAAGTTCTTGCTTTTATAATTTGCATTTGCTGCATAATAACTCTAGCTATAGCCCTTAATTGTAAGATCGATTTTGCAGCAAATTTATTTAAAAAAAATTGAAAAGTTAAATTAAAATCAAAATCTTAATTTTCTGTTCCTTATTCTTTTTTCAAATCCATTTGTTTATTCACTTTGGTTCTTCGTGCTTTGCCAAACGTTTTTACGACATAGCTCCTATTCAGTTCCTTAATTTTTTATACAATCGCGGGTCCGAATGAGATTGCACAGGAAGTAGTGGTTGATTATTCTTTGAGGCTTGAAAGAATCCAGCGCAAAGTTAGAACAAGATTTGTTATCGACGCATAGATGTCACAATTCCAGACATAATAGCTTTGAATGAACTTTATGATAGGTAAATATTTTGACTCAAGACAATAAAAATGTAAAAAATTGCTGAGTATAAATCTCTTCTAACTTTTCTTTGAAACTAAACCTCAGAGTTTTTTTAGCTGGTCTTCTAGGCAAACGTTTTTGTTTGCATAGAGTTATGATAAATTTGACCAAAAATTAGTATACTGCAACCATTTTGACCCAATAGCGGGCCGTTTTGACTGTGACGTTTTGAATTTTTTACTGTATTCAATTGGAGCAAACAAATTTTTTGACTGTGCTTGATCTAAGGAAACTTTCGGAGTGCGTTGCAACGAAACAAATATTCTCGAGTGCATTTGGCTGAAAAAATGCGTTTAGACCAAGAATTTTTTTGAATTATCAAATGCACTCGAAATTGGGGATTTAGGCAGTTTTGTCATTCTGTATGCGACTGTATATGCGGTGAATCACAACAAAATGACAAAAATTCAGCAAACAATGTTGAGTTCGTCAACATAAATTGTTAGTTTAGATCCGAAGTGGAGTATTTTTGGATAGAGTACACCGTCTGTTGGTCAAGCTATCTTATTTTCGGCCGGATAGATTCGTGCAACTTCTTAGTCTAATACCGATCTTAATTAATCTTACTGTTATATTTCCTAGTCTCAATAGATCTAGTATATAATGGTATTCTTGCAAGATTAGAGAAAGAGGCAACTGAGTTCCAAGTTGTATTATATTTTCTCTGGCTGAAACCGTGAATAGTTTCAGCTTTAAAATTTATCATAAGTTTTAATAATGGATCATGATTGGTTAGTTCTAATTATTTTACAGTGATGAATTTTAATGTATATAATAAAAACCTTAAATACTTCCAATTTTTACTTCTCATATTGACATACCAATCGAGACCGGGCCCAATTTGTTTGCTGAAAGGCTTAAAACTTTAAGATTCTGAAAAGTGATTTTGGTTTGGAGTGGTTTCAGTAGCCCATTCAGAGAACTCTACAGCCTCGCTAATCAAACGTGTTTCTCACGGCAAGCCCGAACTTCAGAAAACTTTTTAATCATTTTTTCCCGTTTTTTATAATACAATCTCGGCGTTTCAGGAGAGCTCAGATAACATATTTGGTCAAAATTTCAAAAAGAATTCAAACATTTGAAAATCCCAAATACACCACTGGGTACAAGTCCTGTTGTTGACATTGATGACAAAGTGACATTTGAAGCATTCTCCTGGCATGCTTTTTGTGTAGTTAATTGATGGTACGATGTATTTTATCCATTTTTATGGCTTATTTTGGTAATATGTATGGCTTGTTATTGATAGTGTTTTCAGGTTTTGGTCTTCTAGACTGTATATGACATTTAATTTATTTGGTTTTTGTATACAGCTATATTATGGTTTATACAACTTAATTTTATGTTTTGTCATATGAACCGTCATTATGACGAATGCCTTTTGTTTGTTAAATTTATGCTCAAATGAAAAAAAAACTTTTCAAGTGAAAACATTATTGATTCAGAAATTGAATAATCATAACCCTAGATTTGACGGTTACGATAGGTCAATCGAACCGAACTTAAGTCCGATTATATAACGGAGTACAGCTCGCCAACCCCCACCCATCAAAAAAATCTGCCCCCTACCTACAGTCATTTTTCTCTTTCGGTGGCTATGTTTTGCCGAGAGGATTTCCATGAAATGCAAGAAGTTTTTATTATTTCTATACTACGTTTAACATTGGAAATAGTATTTTATCAACCTTTACTGTCAATGTGTTTTTCAGTATGGTGCAATCCGGAGCCGGAAAGAATGATTTGATGGCTCATGAGCTGGAAGTCAGTCTCAGTAGTGAGAGTGTGTTCGAAATGCACGTAGAGCTCAACTGCTTCTACAATGTGTCTCTCCTAGTGGCAAACTCTAGTGAGTTTCAGGAAGCGCTTTGTTGCAACCGACTAGACTACCTTGTCAACTGCTCATCAGGTAGATGCACTCAAACTAATATGTTCTAAAACTAGGAACTCAAGTCTTATAGTCGAATCAAAACAAACGAGTGTGGCCTGTTTAATGATATTCTCTATGAAATATCATTTTCTAGAAACATGATCTGATAATATCTCAGCGAAGCGAAACTTTGCCAAAATTGATGTCGTTTTTAAGTGGCATCATCATTACTTACATATTTTTCAAACCCATATATGAATGAGGATAATTTTCAACAACAGATTATACAGAAAACTTAACCAGACTTGTTAGTAGTAGCATTATTGTCCTTAGCAACATTTTGAAGGAACCTAATTTATGTTGACCTTGAGGGTTCGTATGCAACTTATGAATTGAAGACATAAACCTCACGAAAGTAAAATAAAACTTTGAAAAATTTTACCGTCTCCGTCATTTAGTTTACACTTTAGATTCATAGCATTAGCTATCATAGATTGCTAAGATTCTATTTACCCACTCCCGGATCAGAATTAGAATTTTCTGCGACATCTATGTGAGTTCGAATCAGCCATATAGTATGATGCTATGACGATGAGTATACAGGGCTTCTCTATTCTTACGTCAATTGCCCAAAATGTTTCATTCAATTCATCAACAAGCGTCTAGTAAAACCTACTAAGAAAACAATTGGGACATCTTCGAAAAAAGACGCTTTAAAACATTGAAAAAATTTCGGAAGATTTCTGCTGCACAAAACAAGAATTATTTTTAGCTCAACTAAAAAGTAACAACTCATATCTCTTTTCATTGTTCCGACTTTCGATACGAAAGTGACGGAATATTTGTGTTCGGGTGGGTTTTTTTTCTTCAGACAAATTTCGACTTTTTAACTAGCCATTTTTGACGGAATTTTTAAAATATCATTGGAAAGGTATTGTTGTCCTGAGCTTAAATTTGAAAAGATATTTCACCTGTGATTATTTTCCGTAATGTTATGGGGGTTTAAAGATTTCCATTTTGGCCATTTAGGGACAATTAACGCGCGATGTATTTCGCGCTATTAACGCGTAAGTGGAGAGTTAATCCGTCTTAGAAATTGTTCCAAATTGGTTGAAAGAAGCTTATTTGCAACAATTGATTTGTTACTAGGAGCAAAGTTTATCATTTTGTACTATATAAGGCGTGTGGGGGGATGATTTTCATTAAAAACATTTCAAATTTTATAAAAAAAGTATTTTTCATTTTAGTTAATTACAATTAATTTTCTTATCTTATTACAGCTCCATAAACCTTAAAAGGCAGTCGGAACATTCAGGGCTTCGCCCTGATACGAGCAGTCTTGTTCTATTTGGCGTATATTGGTTAAAAGGTATAAGTCAGTTAGTATTATTTCAGTATTCAGAGTATGAGAGAAAAACAAATTGTCAAAACAACGAAACGTAGGATTTAACTTACAGAAGGTTATAACATAACCTTAATTGTTCCGACTTTCGATACGAAAAGAACGGAATATTTGTGCTCGGGGTGGGTTTTTTTCTTCAGACAAATTTCGACTTTTTAACTAGCCATTTTTGACGGAATTTTTTTCATCATTCGAAAGCTGTTATTGTCTTGAGCTCGAATTTGAGAAGATATTTCACCTGTAATTATTTTTCGTAAAGTGACGGGGGTTTAAAGGTTGCCATTTTGGCCAATTTGAGACAATTAACGCGCGATATATTTCGCGCTATTAACGCGCGATATATTTCGCGCTATTAACATGTAAGCGGAGAGTTAATCCGTCTTGGAAATTGTTCCAAATTGGTTGAAAGACGCTTATTTGCCAGGATTGATTTGTTACAAGGAGTGAATTCTATCCTTTTGTACTTTATATGGCGTGTGGGGGATGATTTTCATTTTAAAAAAATCAAATTATACCCAAAAAAAATTCATTTTGTTTTATTTCATTTAATTTTTTAATGCTATTACTGCTCCATAAACCTTAAAAGGCAGTCGGAACATTTAGGGCTTCGCCCTGATACGAGCAGTCTTGTCGGTTTTTTTTTCATATCTAAAGTCGGAACAGTAACACCTATGTGTAAAATCTGCGAACGGTTCTGTCAAGAACTTGAAAAAAGCTACTCGTTCTTCCACAGAATTAGTTCAAAAAAAAACTTCTCAAGCCACAACTTGCTTTTCAAATCATGATCCAACAATGAGAAAAATTTCAAAAATTTTAATCTTTTTCTATCTAAAACTCAAAAAATATATAGATGGACTTGATTTTTGTAAAAAAAAATGAACAGTAAAAATTTTGAGAATCTGTATTAATTTGTAGCTGTGAACAATTTTTTGCGATTGATCAAGGTGAAGCATGAAAAACAAAGTGGGCTTTAGACTGAAACATTGAACAATTGACAATGAGTGAAATCAAACCAACCTTAGTGGGGAGATTTATTTAGTCTTTAAATTAAAAAAAAAAGTAAAGCAACGCTAAATTGAAGGTTATGATAGAAAAAAAGTGTTCCTAAATGCAAAAATTTGGTCTTGCCTTGTCGTGAAAGTTATTTTATTTGAAAATCTCTAAAACATATTTTTGTTTTATAAGTCAATTTTCTTCAGCCTACCTCAAAGGAAGTGTAAATTTTAGGTAGGTTTAAAAGATGAAAAAAGACTGAGAGTTTCAAAAAAGAGTTTTCCGTTCCAGAAAAAAAACTAACGCATGAAAGGTATAAGAAATCAGTAATATTACTAAAAACCTCTAACAGATTTTATCAAATGTCTCAAAAAGAAAAAACAGTGGAAAAGTTTCATGAAAAAAACCGCCGAAAAATTGATTTAATTCAACTATCTTTTTTTAATTGTCCTCTACGGATCACTAGCCGTGGATTTTTCCACTGTTTAACTAGTTTCTAAATTCACATCCAAAGATCACCTGCATAATTAATTATTTTTTTACAATGTTTTACTGTAATAGTTTCATGTGAAAAAGGACTGAGAGGTTGCCATTTCATAAAACCATATCATACAGTGCCGGGATGGAGAAAAATTTTCATTGTTTTGAAAATTGTACTATATCCAATAACCATGTAGGCAAAATTACGTCTAAGTACAGGGGCGGATCTAGGATTTTCTCGAGGGGGGCGGATTTTCAAAAAGAAATAGAAAATTTTGACGACCTTTTTTTTGAGCTCTCCCAAAGCACTGTTTTGCCCATATTTTGGCAAAATTTTCTGCGCCGCAGGCAAGTTTTTGAAAAAAAAATCGAAAAAAGCGTATTTAGGCACTTTTTGGAAAATTTTGACCAAAAAATTGCGTTTTTTTTTGGGCGCGCGCTCCCCCCTCAAAATTAGTAAATATTGGCGCCAAGGGCGCCTTTAGAAAAATTTTAGGGTCGGTCGGCCAAAAATGGATTTCTTAAAAAGTACCAAAGGGGGGACCCTTTGGGTCGGCAGGGTGTCGAATCCCTGAGGGGAGTGGGCGTCCGCACCATCCCCCCGCACCCCCCCCCCCTAAATCAGCCCCAGTCTAAGTATCTTTATTGTAAAAAACTTTCAGAAGGATAAAGTTGTAGAACACCGCCGGGGAAATTGCTCAATCAGTAACCTAAATTGAACAAAAACTGGCTATTCGTTTGCCGCATATAAATCAAAACTGGTAAGTCGCAGCGCGGATTCGAAATTTACTTTTGGTTTGATATCATAAACAATCAAATAGGTGTGTATATGAGTGCATAAAGACTACGCTATCCTCAGTTTGCGCACAAAGTTGTAAGATTTCACCGCGATTTCAATCTGCTACATTTTCCATTCTCGAATCGTGACCTTTTTATTAACAATGCTATGTCCTACAACGGCATTGGGTTTTCCCTCAAGACGCTCAAACAACAAAAGAAGTCAAATTTTTGAGATTTCTTGCATAGTTGTTCAGATTTCAAAGTTATGACTTTGAAGAGTTTCCTGAAAACTGGCAGTCTTGTTCTATTTGGCGTATATTGGTTAAAAGGTATAAGTCAGTTAGTATTATTTCAGTATTCAGAGTATGAGAGAAAAACAAATTGTCAAAACAACGAAACGTAGGATTTAACTTACAGAAGGTTATAACATAACCTTAATTGTTCCGACTTTCGATACGAAAAGAACGGAATATTTGTGCTCGGGGTGGGTTTTTTTCTTCAGACAAATTTCGACTTTTTAACTAGCCATTTTTGACGGAATTTTTTTCATCATTCGAAAGCTGTTATTGTCTTGAGCTCGAATTTGAGAAGATATTTCACCTGTAATTATTTTTCGTAAAGTTACGGGGGTTTAAAGGTTGCCATTTTGGCCAATTTGAGACAATTAACGCGCGATATATTTCGCGCTATTAACGCGCGATATATTTCGCGCTATTAACATGTAAGCGGAGAGTTAATCCGTCTTGGAAATTGTTCCAAATTGGTTGAAAGACGCTTATTTGCCAGGATTGATTTGTTACAAGGAGTGAATTCTATCCTTTTGTACTTTATATGGCGTGTGGGGGATGATTTTCATTTTAAAAAAATCAAATTATACCCAAAAAAAAATTCATTTTGTTTTATTTCATTTAATTTTTTAATGCTATTACTGCTCCATAAACCTTAAAAGGCAGTCGGAACATTTAGGGCTTCGCCCTGATACGAGCAGTCTTGTCGGTTTTTTTTCATATCTAAAGTCGGAACAGTAACACCTATGTGTAAAATCTGCGAACGGTTCTGTCAAGAACTTGAAAAAAGCTACTCGTTCTTCCACAGAATTAGTTCAAAAAAAAACTTCTCAAGCCACAACTTGCTTTTCAAATCATGATCCAACAATGAGAAAAATTTCAAAAATTTTAATCTTTTTCTATCTAAAACTCAAAAAATATATAGATGGACTTGATTTTTGTAAAAAAAAAAATGAACAGTAAAAATTTTGAGAATCTGTATTATTTGTAGCTGTGAACAATTTTTTGCGATTGATCAAGGTGAAGCATGAAAAACAAAGTGGGCTTTAGACTGAAACATTGAACAATTGACAATGAGTGAAATCAAACCAACCTTA